TATAATTTTTGTGTTGGTTCAGAAGGCATATTTATAGAGATATAGGCTGTGTCACTTTACAATAACTTTTTTTGTGTTTGTCATAGTCTATACAAACAAATTATGTTCTTTATTGTTTTAATATATGTACAATGTCATATCAGCTTACTACAATTTTGGATCTGACAGTGCATATTCCTAACTAAAACTATATGCATTATGCAATATGCATTTCTAGCCTATTTCTCTGCTCCCCAACTGTGTTCCAACCCAATCCATATGCAAAGTCAGAATTATGCATTTTGACATCATGCATTGTGAGATAGTCAACTGTATTCTCAAAGTACTTGAGCAAATAGGCATGAATGACTGCAAACCAGTCAAAATACCTATGGATCCAAATATACGGCTAGAGAAAATTCCGATAGAAGATTCATAAGGTGTTGACACAGCCATCAGGCAATATTACCATACTGGTGTCAGATCACTAATGTATGTGGCCAATGGATCCTAGCCTGACATTGCATATGCTGTCACTGAATTAAATAAGCACATGCAGAATCCAGCTGCTGAGCATGTCACAGTCTTGAAGTGAGTTTTCCACTATCTGAAGAGAACTCTAGACTTTGGAATCACATACAGAGAGACTATGGATGAGCTGATACCTTATTCAGACTCAGACTGGAGAGAAGACAGAATAGATAGAAGATCAACATCTGGTTATGTCTGTATCTATGCAGAGGGAGCTGTTACTTGGAGTTCAAAGAAACAGCCCACCATAGCCTTATCCACTATGGAAGCAGAATATATAGTCCTTGCACACACAACCCAGGAAGTAATTTGGCTATGAGCACTCTTAACTGAATTAGGATTGCCACCTTATAAAGCAATAACTATTTTTATTGACAATCAATCAGCAATCAAATTTGCTGAGAACTCTATATTCTATGCATGATTGAAGCACATAGATATATGGCACCACTTTGTTCATGAGTGCATAGCTTCAAATAAAGTCAAAGTTCAGCACTGCACATCAGAAGAGAACTTAGCAGATATATTCACTAAAGGTCTACCAAGACTGTTATATGAGTATCTATCTGCAGGTATTCTAGGAACTTGGAATTGAGAGAGTGTGTTGGGATAGCAATCCTGAGTGAGTACAAGAATGTACTTGAAGATATGACATCAGTCAGTGGCAGCTGACTTGGATCATGATCTGAACTTATTGTTAGACCCAAGCATCATGTGAGTAGGACCACATGATAAACAGAAGCTACCTTGCACTTTGGGTAGTTGTCTGAGTTCACTAATGTGATTTGCTATGATGTGTCATAAGGCTAATAGTGTAGCTTGAGAGTAGAATGGTATAAATAAACTTTAGCTTGAAGCTGGGGATTACCAGCAAGAGCGAGCCTGCTTAAATACTGTTTACTGTTGAAGAGGATCTGTGTGCATGTAAGGTGAAAACAGATATAGCAGAGCATTATCCACTGTCCACACTCACACTAATATACACACACAAAACTCTTAGTTTGTGGGGGGATTATAATGTGATAAAAGTAGCAATCAATAAATATAATTGTCTTCTTCAATGAGATCACAGTGCATGAACAGTAATAGCATGCTTACAACAGTCTGAGGCCTTTCTAAGTCTTAAAGCTTTTCGTTTTATCAAAACAAGAGGTGGCAACTGGTGTTATCAGGTCTCAAGGCAAAGTGTACTGCAGTTCAATATAATACATCAAAACACTCCTTCAAAACTCTCAAATAGTTCCAAGCACAGCTCAGATCAACTCAAATCTCTAACGCACATAATACACAACTTAAATCTTTGCACTCTAAGCAGAAACCAATCACAAACACATCCATAAGTGACTAAAAGTGCAGATCTCTGTTTACAAGTTTGCAAACCAATCGTAGACTCACAGGATTCAAACTTATGTGATCCAGAGACACAAACACAATAAAACTCCATCTGACAGACTAAAAGGTTTGAACCTCTGCCAATCTGTGGAAATAATACAAAAGCACACACTAATCAAGCCAAAGGGTTTGAACCTCTGCCACCTGTAGTACCATGCATTACCAATACCTCAAAAACTCAAGATGATGCCTTTTAGACACTGCTCTCTTATTCTCAGGTTAAAGCACAATCTAAAACCTCTTATCAAACTGGGCTCAAGTCCTTTGTGAGCTTTGATGCCTCACTTAGTTCTCACAGTGCTCTTAATGATATCAATAATCAGTTTATTCTCTCACCTGGAGTTACTAACACAGGCCCAGAGCTAGAGTGCAAGGCTTTCTGTACCCAATACACTGCAACTGTGGGGGGTCAGAAACTCCCTCTCCCAGTCATACAATACTGTATTTAAATACTCTATTAGGATACTTACTAATACAATCCTACTATGGTATCCTCAAAGTGCAGGACTCCATGCCAGATCCCACAGGTATTATTTGCATGCATATTGCAGTTACCATGCTTATTCTCTTCTGGGCAATGACTGTCTGCTGTTTCTTTGCTAGCTGACATCAGCTAGCTGGCCTCATCAGGTCTGCTCATTTTTTTATTTTCTCAGTGACATCTCTGATATCAGTAAACTGTTTCAGACTCCTGGAGTTATTTCTCATGCCAGGAGCCAGCCACAATGGCTATGTTCTGCTTCTCTGTGTCCAACCAGTTATTCCATCTGACTCACCAAAGGTGCCATTTCTCAGTATGATGCAGAGTCTCTCGCTATGTTATGCATGCTAAGGCACTATATGTATATGCACAAGGCTCAGAGCAGTATCCATACTATTCATTTCTAGAGTAATATTCCTCTACTTGTTAGCTTGTTGTCATCTGTCTATTCCTCTGTTCAATACCCATTACTCAGATACCTTTCTTTGGGTCTCAGTTTTCTGTTCTAAGGCATATCTCATCAGGGCATCAATGGCTGTGTATCTTTGATCAATGTGATCAGACTTACCGATCATATTTCAATCATAATTTTTTTATTTTTAGCATATCCTCTTGTAATAGTATTGGTGCATTTAGGGCCAAGTGCTGGGACCTCACATGCAGCCTAACCCCTCTGGTATTAGTCTGTTACTAGGCCATGCACTCTGCTTATTGTTACTTCAGTTTAGCATTATAATAGCTAGGTTTCTGTGTGCTCTAGTCCTATTTTCTGTTACATGCTTACTGGACTGGAATGCGGTCCATGTATTTGCAATTTTCACAATTTTACATGCCTGAACATGGAGAGGATGTGTCATATCCCCCCCACTAAAATCTGGACCTTCCATAGTCTCTTCAGTAGGTACTCATGTCTGTATTTCAATATTATTGTGTTAAATTCACTGTGTTCTGTCATAGACCCAATCACTGGACAATAGGACATCCCCTGGTCCACACAGGATCAGATCCCAAGCTTCAGTGATGCTGAAACATCCAACTGAGTTGCCCACACATGTACCTGCTTACTCACTGCTTTCCAATAGTATGCTGGCCCAGTTTGAGCATGTACACATTGTACTTATATAAGAAATTCTCATATCTGATGATTTATCAGGCATGGTGATATGCAGGCTATATGTCCAGCTCTATAATTTGCAAATTCTGCATAACACACTAGAATATGCTAGTAACTGAGAATCATTAGCCAGTAGAGGACTATGGCTGAGGCTCTGAGCTGATAGTCATGCTAGTCACCAATACTAAGTCCAAAAGAGACTTTGTAAAATAACATGGTCTAAGGATAAAAATCCTAAGTCAGGTTTGAACTTAGAAAAGTTCTGCACCACACCTTGGAAAATACTAAGTCCAAGTTGGACTTAGAAATGGTACCTCAAATGGAGCCAATTCTATATGCCACTAAGACAAGTATATTCTAAGACAGCTAGAGATATAATACCATAGCCAGTTGTAGAGTATTGAGTAGAGATAGTATCATCCAGAAGCAGTAAGAAGTGAGACCCAATGATCTGTGGCTAGCACTATGAGTTTTGACTCAAATGCCTAAGTCCAAATTTTCTAGATATCAGGTGACCTAAAGGACTTAGAATTGAGAGGAATAGAGTGGATAGGACTGGTTGACCAGGCCTGATCAGGCCTGATCGATCAAGCTACTAAGAATAACTCAGAGGATTAAAACTTTGAGTAGACAGAAAG